TGTGTCCAGAAATGATTGTTGTGTTCTTAGGTGAAAAGTATTACAGACCTAGGAAAATAAATAAATATTTTTTTTAAAAAATGTATTCGTTTATCATATGGTATAGCTGCCCAATCTCACATGAAGGTGGCTCTGGATAGCAGACAACATTTAATTGAAAAAACCAATACGTGAAAACTGAACTTAAAAATAACTATTAAAAAGGTAATAAAAAACAGAGAAAGAGTGATATTAGTCACATTAAGGGAGCCATCACAACATCTCCTTGGTGTCCTAGTAACCCTCAGGCCTCGTGGCATAATCAGATTTTGAGGGACTTGAGGAATGTGATAGGGCTGTAGCTAACTTCACTTCCAAGAGGAGAAGATTCCCTAAAGCAGGTGCCACAACAAAGAAGGCCCACTTTTTGGGACCTGCCAAATGTAATTCCCAAGCAAATGGAATCCATAGCATGACTTGTCTGCCAAATAGTTCAGACTCAACATTTGGTCTCTTGGATTTGCTTTCTCTAAAGTACCCATAGTTTGTTGTATTTAGAGTATGTGTGCTAAAAATTACATCCTGCATTAGTATTAACTTCTTTATTTGAGCAAAAGTTAACCATACGAAGGAAGAGAGAGGAAGCAGCTAAGATGAAAACAACCACCAAGCCAAACAACAAGCCAAACTTAAATAGTAATATCCGCTAACATTGACCTGTAGTTGTAACCAAAGTCAATACATTGCTAAGTTTTTCTTTTGTCTATAAGTTATGCAAAATTCACCGAATTTGAAAACAGTAATTCACTTTACCAAGAAAATAGTAACATGTATTCATCCAAGTAATTCAGTTTCGTAAAGCTACCTATATAATTATTTCCCACACTTTCAGCAGCGTGCTTAAAAATACTAACTGTAACATAATTTCATTTAGGAGCATACAAATCACAATTTTGGTATAATCAAATAACATTGCATGGCTTGTAATGTCATTAAAAAGTAACCTGATATATTTCGTGTAAGAACCGCCAATGACTACTAGCAAATAAAGTGATGAATCAACCTTCAGAAAACTCCTTAATTTGAATACACCAGGATTTTATTCTTTCAGGTAAGAACTATTTTAATTGTCATTAAACAAGCAAGTGATACATGACTTGACAAATATTAAAACAAGTATTACACTCAATTATTAATTTGCACCGTTCTCTTTTAAATGCAGCAAATATCTCATTAATTTAATTTTAGGTGCCCACCAGTTTATATTTTACAGTCTGGAAGGCAATTTACTAACTGGCAATTACATACAGAATGATTGTTAATTCTGCTCCTAAGTGCTAGCTGCTTGAAAACTGTTACGTCTCTCTAATTTCTGACCTTCTTACAACAAGGGTGAGGTACATTGGGAATAGCAAGGCCTAGCAGAGAAGAGCTGGACATGTCATTTGTGACTCATTCTTTTAATTCACCGTGCTAATCAACTGAACTGCCACAATCTCCCAAGGTAATTGTATCTTTACAATAGTTGAAAGCAGCAGGCTAAAAGGCATAGATAGATGGTATAAGGGACCTTCCCATCCTTCTGAGAATTAGCACAGCAACCGCTCTCTACATGTGGCTCATGGAGTCTGGGATTGTGGGGTGTTTTAAATTGGGTAGTTTTATATCAACATACACGTATCCTTTAAATGCCTCCACTTCTGTACTTTGGAAGCTTCTTTTGCACACTATACCCTTGTTTCGTTCTTCTCCAGCTTTATTACCCTTTGTTCCACCTCATGCTGAGAAGGTTAAATGTTAGAATGCCAAGCCAGACTGCAAGCATGGTGGGATACTGATGAGAACCAGATGCCCTGGAGATTCTAGCCCTCCCTCTTATGGGACGACATAATTTTCATATTGTGAAATACAGTGAAGTTTGGCTCAGTTTTCAGTGGTGAGTGTAATTTCCAATGATTATCTCATTGTCCCCATCAATTTCGGGGCAATACAAATCAGACTGAAGTTTCCAGGTCAGACAGGCTGTGACCTTACCCTTCCTCTTACTTTCTCTAGCCATGTAGTACCTGAGACGTGTAGTAACTTGTAGCTTTTTTTATTTGTAGGCTTCCAGTAAATTAATTGCAGCCAGAACGGCTTTAGTAACTTTGATTCTCTGAAATGTCATTCGTTCACATGTCCTATGACTTCTTGGGACAAAGAATACATTGACCAATGTAAGAGTGTGGATTTTAAAACAGTGGCAAATTGTGAAAATTGCCATCAAAAAGCTAGTAAAAAAATTAAATTTATCTGCTAAGACTGGATTCTCATTAGTACATGCAATAAAGTCATTAGAACTACTCATTTAGTTTGGAACTTATTATTTGCTGCTTTTAAAAACAAAACAGTCCTATACAAACATACACACACTACATATACAAACACACATACATTGCTACTTAAATAGTAATCAGAGCTAATACTGAAGAAAATATCAAAATTATTGCGTAACAGTCCAGAACTTGTAGTATCACACTTGCAATATTACACTTCCGATCTATATTGTCTGCTGCAGAAATTATAGTGAAATTCTCTCTCTCTCTCCCTCTCTTTCTCTCTCTCTCTCTCTCTCTGTCTCTGTCTCTCTCTCTTTCTGTCTCTGTCTCTCTGTCTCTCTCTCATCATGTTGTCAACTTAACTATTTAAAAAACATAACAGCTAGATTGCTTATTTAACTTTATTTTGGTCATTAACCAACACATAAGAGCTGGGTTAAAAAGATCAAAATAAATGCGTTATGATTTATCTCTATGGAACCTTTTCAATAATCTACTGCTGCTATTTTCTCATGAGGTTGCCAGAGGGCTTTCAGGTAACTTATTGTTAGTTTATTGCAACTTAAATACAGTACATTTGCATTTGAAGTCTAAGGTTCAGTCACTTCAGAAAACTTTTTAGAAATTTAGGATTTAACTAGAAGCTATGCACGGACATTGGTTTCTAACCAGACTAATAGCGAAATGCTCCACCCTTTTGTACTTACAGAATGAAATCACATGTGACTATGGAAGAGGCAAAATTTGCATCAAATTGTGATCCTCCATAGTCATTTCTTATTCCATCATGTAGACACCTATATGGATGATCGAGTTTAGCCATCAGGCATGATTTTTTTAGATATCCACAATAAAGACTCTTAATACTTAGACAATTAGTATTTAGCCTTACTTTTACTCATCTTTTTTTTAATTGTGTGTTAAAACAACAACCACAGACCATTTTATAATTAATTCCAAATATTTTCAAATGGGACATTGGGGGGGGGAGTGCTATTTCAATATGTATTCAAATTTAGTATTAGTTTAAGATTTATGCATTATTGTAATCTATCTTGTATATTTTTGTCTTTTTATACTAGTCCTATGCTTTATATAGACTCATTTTTAATGAGTCTACCAACACTCTACAGGAATCATATGTACGATAAACAAATCAGTTGAGTTTTTTCCTTGGGATTATGCATTCCCCCCAAAAATACATATTTGGCTTAAAGATGGGGCTATCTACGTGCCCTATTGATACCAAAGACTCTTTTTCTTTTCAAATCTGATACCCTAAAAAATATCCAACATGGCATCATCATAATCAACGATTATTTCCTTTACTTTGGGTACGACATATGTCCATCACATATGACATTGATGCTCTTTTTACAGATTTTTATCTAATTCTTTATTTAAGAATTCTAATGAAATATTTAGAAAAGTTCTTGAGAAAACCCATTTCACATAAGTTCTGACCAACTCTCTGATTTACTTTTTGAAAACTTAAACACAATTTAAATACACATTAGCTAACATCATCAGAATACTTCTCTTTTTCCACTATATAAATATTCTCATTCTCATCTCCCCCACCACCACCACCACACAGTACATTTAAATTTTCTCATAAACCTCTTACACTAGGATAAATCTATCAGAGGCAGTTCAATTAATCTGGATCAAATGACTGGATAATTTAAAATATGAAAGTGACACTTTTTTCCTCATATTTCAAACTCTATTGGAAATATGATTTTAAGTTTTACATACCCAGATTTAATATTTCTCATGGCCACAGAAAGCTTGCTAATAAAAATCTTTCTCCCACACGTAG